ATTTGGGAGGGTTCTGCTTTAGTTCAGTATAGGACAAATAACTAAAGTCTTTATGTACCCAATTTGCGCGATTTTTATCTTTTTAGGCATAGAAAAGGAAAGGAAAACAAATAAAATGAAAAAAAGAAAAAATTAGAATTTTAACTCGGGACATTTGTAACGAGGGAGGAGAAGGGGGAGAAGTCATTTTTGTCCCCAAGAGCCAAATCACGTTCTGATTGGTCTATAACGACTTTGAGCGACGTTCAGTTTGGATTCGAATACAGCGCGCGTGCTTATTGAGCTCCAAAGAAAGAGGAAGCCTTTCCCTATTTAGAGAGCTCCTTTCATATTCAAATTTCTCCAGTGTCACACGGGAATGTCGAGGTAAGCTGGCCGAGTCAAAGCTGAATGACGCAGCTTTGATTTTGAATAGAAGCTACCAGTGTATTTGTAGATTTGAATGCGTTGTTTACTTGAGCACTCACGGTCTTTGTTTCAGAGAACTCAGATCCGGGACGATTAGTAAACAAAAGGGAGCTTTCAGAGACAAGGGATGTTTGAAGGTATGGAAGTCAATGTTTCCTCTTAGATTGTAATGATACTATTCATGATCTTAAGCGGTTTGATTCTTCTCTACGTTTGACTTCGATATCGGTCGCGTGTGAGTTATGCGAAAGTGAATTCGTTCGATCGAGGCGCCAGAAACAACAATTTGTCAACTAGCTGTACGTTCGCTAAAATCAGTGTAGGAGTCATTGAATAATGAGTACTCATTCTTTTTCCGGCTTTCATTTGATGCATTACATTCCTTGAAACGACAGTTGATAGTGTCATAAATAATTTTTCATCCGTGACTGAACAATAAAGAACGATTTGCAATTGGCAAAAGATATTGGACTATTTAGCGTTTGGGCCTCTGCCCAAAAAATTATTATTATCGCTTTTGTTAACAGGTTTAACTGTTATTTGTGGCGTTATCTTGTTGTAAAACCGACAAAGACGAGGTAGAATAAGTTAATTCTCTCTTGTAAAATCGTAAACGAATTGAGTTTCATCGGAGAGTCTCCAAGTTGCACTCAAAGTCAATGATGTAAACATCCACGTATTATTTGAGGTAAGCTATCTTCTTCAATTTGATCGCAGCCAAAACTCATTCAAAATAATTGTCTAACACCAGTACTTTAATTGTTAGAGCCTGATACTTGTAATCGAAGTAATCTTAAAGTAGAATATGGCTTTGTAATTTATTTAAAGGCGGGGATAACGTTTAAGACGTAGTTTTGAATGGCCTCTGCCTTCACACATTCGTTACTGACGCGCTACACTTTATATTTTTCATTTTGATATTGCGATTAAACATTTATGGCCAAGAAACCATATGTCTAACAAAGTGACGCGATTCGACGGGAAAATGTAATATAAACTCTCAGAAAAAAGCTGTTAGAAACTCGACAGCAATCCCCATGCTCCTGAAATGTTAGCAGTTCTCAGTCATTTTTTTTGAAGGGAAATCAGTACTTTGTTGGTAGCGTGTTATCGCAGTCATCCTCTGCATTTAGGCCTGAGCTGGCCTAATCTCAGAATATTCACTTGAAAACAAAGTTAACCTGTTCTCTGTTGATCTAAATAATTCATTGTTGTTTGATCTAGGAAATCAAGCAGTTATAGGAATTATAGTTGTTGACAATGACAGAATCGGATGTGGGTTTGACAATTACTTGTAACTTCCAGTGAGATATCTTCCTTCAGAGAGTTGTTTTAAAGGAATAACATCACTTCGTGAACTCACAATTTTTTTGAATTTTTTTATTGTGCAAGATGCTATTTCAGCTATTGATAACAAGGTAAAGATGTGTTAGCTTTAAGTGACAAATAATTCTACAAACACACTAGCTAGCACCTGTACCTTTGTTCCTCTTTTAATTTAGTACATAGTTTTGTAATTCGATTCAATCAATTTTTTAACTCTTTACTTTTTGTTTTGTTGTTGCCTTAGAGATTAGTAATCGATCAATACTATTTACTTTTTCTAATTTTTTTTTTGTATATTTTATCACTAGTGGGTAGACCATTTTAATATTTGTAAGATTTATTTCAAGACGAATCCTTTAGTCTTCAACACATACAGTCTTTTTAATTACGAGAGAGTGTTGGATTCAGAATGAATAACTTTTATATTTAGGCGGCAATATATAGTTGTAGCAGAATCTTGTGAGACTGTCATTTGTAAATTTTTTTCTGCCTTTGAAATCAATTTGTGACTAAATATCACTGAAAATGAACATTTTTAAATTTTAATATTTGCCAGTTGAAATTCACTTTTAATTAGCATGGGTGGACAACTGGAATAAGAATGGTATCTTGCAATAGTTTTAAATTCACAGAATATGACTTCCTAATAAATTTTTGCACATGGTATTTGTGATCTCAGTTAAAAACAGATTGTAAGTGAAAATGTTTTCAAACAAAATAAATGTGATTTACATTTTGCTTTGTTTAAGATTTAATTCACTTTAACCTGCATAAAATTTAGAAAAAGAAGAAATTTTAATTAAGTTTTGAGCAAAATGTTCTGTTTTGAATCTCTACTGACACACTTTGTATGTAGGATAAAAATTATGCAGATATTGGCCCTAGAAATATTTTGAATATACATGTGGTCTTGGAAATACATGGATGTTATTTGTATGTCCTGACCTTCCATGTTGATAGCCTAAATGGAACAATATATTTAAGTTAATAAATTTATTCCCTATTGTATATTCATCAAAATATGCCAACAAAATTTTTAACATGATTAAAAAATAGCAAGATAATTGTTTTAGTGGACTGGAAATCCTGTTATTTCAATCACGTTTCATAAACAATCTTGTGCTAATTAGCGTTTGATACTGTTTGTCAATTGAGTGTTAATTTATACAGACAACAGCAGTGTTTAATGTCAATAGCTGTCTTTTACCCTAGAAACAGTTTGTTTGAATTGTGTTGCAAATACACCTTTGTTTTGTTGTAATCCGGTCTGAGCAACAATTGACTTTTCCAGGGTGCTTATTTAATCTGCAAACAGGAAATTTGACTTACGTCGAGCATTAGTTTTCAAAACAGGAAAATACACTCTTAGCAATGCGGGACTAATTTTTTCATTGGGAAAATTAGCAGCAGGATGACACTTCAGGAAATAGTTGCGTAGTGAAAAGAAACTTTGCAATTACTGTTCACATCTAGTGCTCCATGTTTTCCATTATGGATTGAAGGTATGTTATTAGTGTTGTGTATAGCTACATGAGATATTTTGCGAGGAAACTAAATTTTGTTTTGAAATTTGTGAAAACTTATTGCTGCATTGTGTGGTTTCTTGGCTATCAAAAAAGATGATAACAAACCCATCAGCAACAACAAAATAGTTGTATCTGTAAAAATACACATGCAAAAGTTCTTTAATTTGAAAATGATGGTGACATCTTAAAATTACTTGAAGATAAATCTTATAACTTCAATTGATAAGTCAGAACAGTTTAGACATTCTCTGTTTTATCAGAATTAAATAAAACCTTTGCTAGCTCATGCCTCATATACTATATATCAGTGGTAGGTCGGAAACAGTCATTGACCAGAAAACATGTGATATTGTTTAAAATGCATTTTAGTTTTGGTTGGAGTTATTTTGAAGTGTTTTTGTACAGTGTATGTGGCTCTTGATTCCAGACTGACAGTATTCATCTAACATTTTGTAAAATTCTTTTGTATATATAATTAATAAAAGAGATGTTACTTTTATAAAGAATTCTCTGTATGTACATTCAATCAAAACCTGCCTGCGATAAGCATCAATACAAATTTTCCCTTTGCAAATGGAAAGGATTTTAAGAGTTTCTATAGAATACAACTAAATTTTATATTTAAACTATGTAATTTTTTTGCTCAATTTTCAGTTGTAATTTCCATACACTATCATCGAAAATGTTTTCGTTAAAGTCTGTTATTGACAGATGTAAGTGCACACTTATAAAAAAGCGAAAAACCACGTACCATATCAACAACTCCTGCTAAAATAAAGTCAGGCAGTGGCATTTGTTGTAGCATTTCTAGCATTTTATTCTGGGGGAGTGTTTATTTCATTTTGTGAAATAGAAACATGTGTAAAGTTAGAATTTCTCCCTTTTTTGACAACAATTTCCAAGGATACTAAGTGTAAGTTTCTGAGTGGTAGCCAGGGTTGTAGCAGAAAAATTGGGCTGCTAGCTGAAATTTCAAGTGGGGCAGTCAAAGATGCGTTTGATATTGAACGAATTTGTGTATAACAGTTACCTCAGAAGTGGCCAATGTGCTTTACAGAGCAATCACTGGCCATGGTAATCCGTGCATTTTCCTCTGGCAAATTCTCCTGGCAGCCAGCGCTTAGCAAGAATCTTGCAAACTATCCTTTTTTTATATATACATATATATATATATATATATCCTCTGGCAAATTCTCCTGGCAGCCAGCGCTTAGCAAGAATCTTGCAAACTATCCTTTTTTTATATATACATATATATATCTTATTAACCAAGTGCGAGGGCCGTACTGGGAGAATATCGGCCCGAGCGCAGCGAGGTCCATACAAAAAAGACCGAGGGCCCATATTCTTCCAGTACGGTCCCGAGCAAGCTTGGTTAATAAGAGATTTATTATACGACTGAAGTTCAAAAGGACACAAGTGCGGTATCATTCGGGACCATTCGGGACAGTGCCCGGTCCAATACTGAGAGAATATTGACCAGCAATAGAGCATTTTGATTGGTTGATTTTAGTTATTGACCCTCTGACTGCCCGAGTCGTGTAATTT